CAGACTGAAAACACTACTGTTGTGATACAGTTGTGCTAGAAGGAGTTAGACTATCAGCAAAGCTTTTCAAGCCTCAAATATCATCTCAATGCTAAACATGTAGCGTCAGCACAGACGTCCCCAATGCTAATGTCAGCGTCTACAGGCCATGAATGAAACTGAAACTCTGAAGATAAGATAAGATAAGATATTCCTTTATTAATCCCGCAATGGGGAAATTTACATTGTTACAGCAGTATAAAAAGCAAAACCAATATGAAAAACTATATATACACAGTAAAATCAAGTGAATATAGAAATACTAAAAAACAGCATTATTCGAAATATAAATAAATAAACAATTTCCAGGTTTATTGCCTGTAGTAGAGAATGGTGAACTACTTAGAGCAGCTGAAAGGCTAGAAAGAAACTAGAAAGAAACTTTCCACCAATCTGATGGTTGAAGAATCTAAAGAACAGATTAAAAACAAATATCTTTGTTGTTGAGCTCATATGTCTATTTAGTCAATAATTTAACGCCATAAAGGGTTTTTGAATAGAAAAAACAATGAAGAAACCATTATGTGAAGAGATTTAGAGACCTGTACTAACTTTAACCAAATAGCCTGTTACTCCACACATCCAGTGCCTTCTAAATGTTAAATGACTACAGTTCTTGTGTGTGTGTGTGTGTGTGTGTGTATTTATATAATATGCATACAGTAGGTGGTGATAACAATGTCACTTTAGACACTTTATCTTTTAGATTCTGTGTTGGTTTTGTGGATTCTTGAGTTCATGTTGAGGGATTATTGTCCCCTGATCCCTGTGTTCATTTTCTTCAGTGATTTCCTCCAGTCAGCCTACATCAGTTGCTTTGTGTAATCTGTCCACTTCAAATGACACATTAGCCCAGATACACCACAGACAGCCTGTTAAGATTCATCAGTGGTGGTCAGTGGTGTCCACTTCTACCATGTATCCATACTGCAGCTGTTCTTCCTCTAAGATCGAAATAATGAATGAATTACCATAATGTGGTCAAAAGAAGGCTTTGTATTAACTACCAGGTCATCTAATATAGTTTATAGGATGTTATTCATGTACATTCTTCATTAATGACATAATAAAGTCAGATTGCTCTGACAGGTCATGTCTGTCCTTGTCCGTCCAACCAACAAACACTAAGCTCTTCATTTAACAGTAAAACTTGTCCCACATTGTCTCATTTTGACTCTATTTGCTGTCAGCTGTTTGTCCAAAATGAGTCGTCCCTGATCCCATTTCCAGTAATCACCCAGTTCTTCCACTCCTCGGTGGAGTCTCCATGCCTGTGTTTCTGTTGTTTGCTGCTTTTCTCCTTGTGTTCACTTGTTTTCCTTCCTCTTTGCATGCTTCTGGATTCTTCATCACACACGCAGACAGAAAATAACATGTCAAAGTATACATTACCACCTACTTGTGGTTCAGTGTTAATGAATTCACCTATTCACAGATTTTTTTGTGGAAAAAAACTCATCATCCATGGATTTTTTTTCACTGACATTTTTGAAAGTGGCCACTATTGAGGTGCTAGTGGTTGACTTTTTCAATCCAGGAGCTGCATTCAAACTTGTAAACTTGCAGTTTCCAAGCTTCTGCCTCACAGAGCAGCCCTCCCTAGTGACTCCTCTACTCAGCTCCTTCAGACTAGATAGCAGCAATTAACCACCACCTGGTGGAACTGTGCATCTGCTGAGGTCACTATACTTCTCAGTGCAACACCGATAAAAACATTGTTAAAGGGTTAATAGAAGAGAGGTTGTGAGCTGGAATTTTTCAAGAGGCCTGATTTCAAGGTTTTCAATTACAAAGTCAAATTTATTTAAAGTCATATTTAATACATGTAGCATTTACTTGATTATGCTAGAAAATGGCAAAATACTTCCTGAAAAACACATAATGCTGCCACTTTAATTGATGTGCTGAGAAACAGCTACTGACTTTAAAATCTTTTTAAAATTTGAAACACGAAATAAGCCAGAAGTGTTCACAGAAATTCACATCTCCTTTTGTGTATTTAGATTTTTGCTTCTGACCTTGCAGGACAAAGCCTTACTAAGGCGCTCATTCAGTACTCTGCAGTGACCCTGTTCCAATCACCTATAAAGCTGCTTTTAGAAATGGATAGAACTAATTTCCTTCACTGCAAGTGACACATCAATTCATTATATGTCAGATGGTAAGTGCATTCCAGATGAAATAATAAGAGACAAAAACAGCTGGTGTTAGAACAGATGTTGGGGTTAGTTTGTTATATTTCCACACCCCACCGACTGTCACATTTCTTCAGCTTGGACATTCTTCTGCTTTCTGTTTTGTCACAGCCCCGGTTCTGCTTTTCTTCTCCTGTCATTATCTCCTGTCTCTGCGTTGCTCTCCTCCCTTGCCTCTGCCTTCGAAAGAGATGATCCAGAAATAAGGCCATAAATAAGAAATCAACGGCCTTTTCTGTCCCCCCACATTACAGGCTTTTGATGAATGCTTTCTGCAGTAGTATTACTCACTGGCTTCAAATCAATGCGATAATCCCCCCTCACCCTTCTGCCAGATTGATTTCGGTGGCAGTGACAACAGCGCAGAGGGGTGCAGAGCAGATCTGTACACTGTAAGCTCTTTTCAAAATACTTGCAAACGAGAGTTATATAGGTGCAGCTGGTTACAGTTAGCAGAATAAATGAGCACCCACAAATCACAGAGGCAGGAAAGCCAGTATAACTGATCTGTAGTGGAGATAGCGGTGTATTTTTAAATCTCTTTATCCCCATTTATCAGTATCTAAAAATGGAGGCCAGGCAGTTAAAGTTCCACATGAGGTTGTGTTTGAAATTATTCAATGAGTAATTCAAAGTTATCAGTGGAAAGGCAAGGAAAAAGAATGCATTTGGTATCAGAATACTGGTAATCAGTCCCTTCAAGTTCATACCACTTTAAATAAGCACTGTGGTTGCTCTGGAGGAGCTGCATAGCTCAGGTGGAAAAATATGTCGGTATGGTAGCTATTAGTTGTGCACTCAACAAATTTCTCCTTTTATACGAGAGACACATGAAGAAAGCCGTTGTTGAATAAAATGAGTCCCATTTTCAATTTGCCACAAGTAAATGTTTTCTTGCACTAGAACCCAATTTTCTCTTATAACACAGATGCCATTTTATTGATAAAAAAAAACTAATGTTACACAGATTCTTACAATTTCAATTGAACCTGAATCTGTCAAAATGACAAAAGACTAGACCTAACATGATCTAGATGCTTGTTTCCATCCTGATAAACACCAATCAGAATCCACTGGCAGATAACTGGGAGGCTGTAAAACAAGCAGAGCTGCAGGCGTAAGAGTGGACATGATGTCTCTTGTTCTTGTTATCACAGTGGACGTATATTTTGATGTTATACCGCTTCCAGTGCATATTGCTGGCTGAATATGTGTTGTGTCTGTGACAGAGGAGAGCCAACAAATAGGGATAAAAGAAGTTCTGCAGCAATTTTACAGCTGGATTTTACAGCTTTGGTATAAACATAACAATATGGCAGATCCTAGAGGAAGGAAACAGCCAGCTTGTAAACATAAAGAGATATTCCCAGGCTCTCAAGTGTTTGAAAAGAGAGGCAGCGGACGGACGGACGGACGGACGGCATAACTTTGGATTTTTCTTTATTTTGGAAGTTATGGGGGTTAACGGAAAATAAAATTGAAAGTTACTAAATTTTACACGTTGCATATTAAGTTGTATGCTTCTACACAGAAAGAATTAAGTGTATGATTTTGGCAGAAGAAGAATCACAAGGCTTTTTGCACAAATACAATAAGAGGCCATTAGACATAGTTGCTGGGAACATTGGACATTTTCAGGGATGTGAGAAAAGTATTTTTGGCCAGCTTTGAAATGTTAACTAGGCATCCATAAGCAATCGGCATACAGAAGCCAGAATCAATCAAAAATGGTTTGACTATTTCCTCTTGCCATTTGGCTCTGTTAGAGTTGTTGGGTGATGGATCAAATCCCAGCAGTCAATAGGTCAGCAGTAGAGGGAAATATGGCATATTATAATATGGCTGGTTATAACAAGGACTGAGGCATATTAAGCAGTAATATTTAGATAAATCAACTCAAACATGGACTGTCAGGGATAATTGTCTGAGTTTTGCCTGACTGAGATCACATTTGTAATATGGGATCATTTTTGTCTCAGATTTTTGCCACCCTTCATTAACTCATCACTCGTAGAAATAGTTCAGCACCTGCAAGGAATTTTCTGATTTAAGTTTATACACATGTGAACCACTGATGGAGATGTCAGTTTTTCAGTTTACAAGAAGCTGGTTTGTCTAGAAGGGCAATACATGAAATCATGGTCTGATTAGTGGAGATGAAGTATTACCCATCCAGCAATCCCTCAGAACAGGAACTGAAGGTCAGAACTAAGCAGACAAATGTGACAGGCCACAACAAAACAAGGAAGAAGTCTCCCTGGGTATTTGAAGTTACTTACAGATTCTAAGAGTGTGGCTTCTCAGTCATCAGAGGGGAAAGAGGAGACTGATAACCTAAAGAGACCTCAAACAGGAAAAGACCAGCGGCTGAGGAGATGTGAGAATCATGTGCATATTCTACCCAGGAGAGGAACTGACTCCAGTTGGAAGGACTAGAGGTGAGGCAGCGTAAGGCGGATTGAAGTTTTCAATTTATATGTCTTTATTTGTGGATGGAGACCAGAAGTCAGACTGACCTTGGGTGTTTAGAGCTTTGCAGAACAGAACAGTTTCCAGACTTGGGGGGTGAACTGGGGACTACAGAAAGACAGGATGTTTTGGGGTATGCACAAGACAGAAAACATGCTTGACCAAGAGTTGATCCTTGGTCTGTAGACCGCAATGATCTTGTGGATTTTAAATGACTGATTTTTGTTGCTAATATGAAATGATGAATTAATAAAGTACACTAACTTGACTTGTTTTATTTTGTGACTGTTTCTGCAGATGACAGCCGAAGCCATTCTGCGCCTGGTCAGTGACCCTGTGCTGCCTTTCTACCCTCTGGACATTGTGTTGGATGTTCAAAACAAACTTAAAGGTAACATATGATGTAAAAATAGTGGTGAGACTAAAGCAGATGTAAAAAAAAATAGTAATAGTATGAAAACATATTTGACTTTACACGTGTGCACTGTTGCTATAATAATATATTGAGTTCAAGAAGTAATTCTTCCAGTTGCAAAGGGCTCTGGTACTTTTCAACCAATTCCAGAATAGAGCTGGGTTTGATTACTTTTCTCCACTTTTACACATTTTCTCCTTTTTTCTGGTGGCCATATTGCCCTCATTATAATAACAGAAACAGATTTAGTTAATAATGGCTCAGTTCCACTCAGTGCACAAGAATTAGAGCCTTGATGCACAAAGCTGGGATCCTGGAACGAGCACACCTGCTCAAACTGTCATGCTGTAATTTGATGTTAATAATTGGAGCTAAAAGACCTTCTGGAGAAAAACATTCACTTTTTTAAATACACCTACAAAAGCGGCCGAAATTCTCTCTGGATGAAACTGGACTCTTTGAACTTACGCTGTTCATGATTTTAGCTGAAGAACTCTGGTGCACTGTTGGCGATTGTAGTAACATTCACTCCATACTGTTCTGTTAGGTTCCCCTGTGCAATAACATGGCAGTCAGTCAATGCATTTAAACCTGTAGAAATGGTGAAGAGAAGTTGCTGAAGTTTAAACTCAGCATCACAGGAAGGTAGACTCTGGTTTAAGTTGACTTGAATGCGGTATGGTTGTGTCCTAACAGGCTGGTCTGAGTATTGCAGATTAACTGGGATTTGCACCCACAACCTTCTCTGTTGTTTATTTAGAATTGTTGAAAATATTCAGTGGTCAGGTTCTGTTTGGACAGAAAATCCATTTTTTTAGGACAGAGAAGAAAGGGAAGACTGGTTTGAGATAATGTAATATCCCAAAATAACCCCTGTTGTGGTTGTTTTGGGATATTGATTATTTTATCCCAGTTCCATTGTTATTGTGTTCCTTGCTTCCTTATATTGATTACATCATCTTGTTTCTATTTCACTGTTCAGTCTTTTCTCAGTGATTCTAGTTTATTTATTTCTTGTGTCTAGTTATAGATTACTCTTATTCATTTTCTTAGTTCCCATGTTCTTTTTTTTTTTTTTTCCTTTTAGACATTTCTGACACACAAGTTACACCCATAACATATGTGGATGTTGTGTATGGTCACTTCTCATGGTATGCTGGGGCTGCTTTGAAATATTTATTTCTGCTTCAGAGATGATCTGATTGGACGCTGGTAAAGACTATTGTGTTGAAGTTGAGCTAAAAGGAGTTAGTCTATCAGCAAAGCTATTCAAGTCTAAAGAGAAACTCAATGCTAAACATGTAGCAGCAGCATAGACTATGATGGTTGTAGAACAACCAAAAATGATCTTTTTTGAGCTCATGTGTTTGTTTGTTTTTCAATCATTTAGTAGTAAAATGGGTTTTTGAGAATGTTGCTTTTTTATCAATATATAGTTTTTGACTAAATGTGATTAATGGGAATCAATTAATTACAGACCATGCAAATAACTGTTAAAAATGAATTAAGTTTTTTTTTTTTAAGTCTATAAGACATAGACCATCTGGAACAATCAGAACAGGGAAGACTGAAATATTAAAGGCGTATAAGTAATGTGTGTACTGATTTGAAGATGAGTTGGTTTGTTGTTGCAAGCACATTTGAACTTTAGATAGTGGCTCTCTGTATGTTTTACATAGACTAATTTACATATGTCTGCATATGCAACTTTCTCCGTTTTAAGTAAGCAGTGCTTTAGTCTTAAATGAACCCAGCCCACATTTCCATTGCCAAACATTCAGCAGTTAACATGCTGAACAAGCTCTCAGGCCCTGTGAGCAAAAATAGGCTTATTCAGTCACACTCTAAGAGCTCGCAAAGACTGTCCTTGAATATTAAAATGGCCCTTGAACAAGGCTGAAAAAAAAAATAGACTTTGATGCCTGTAGCCTGCATGCTGGCATCATGCAAATCCAGAGTAAACAAAATTAAATGTTACTTCCATCAAGAAGTATCCTGAAAGTACTGGAGTTTCTCCTAAACAGAGTCACAACTAGATATAGTCAGTAGAATATGCACTGTGGAGAATTCATTCTTCATCGCCGGGACAAAATAAAATCTGTAAAGCGAGGATTATCGATCATCTACGGACCATGATCTGAGATTTAAAGCGCTGTAGGCGAGCAGACGATCCTCACGTAGCTCCAGCTCCAAGTCTCATTCATTTTGTCACTAAGGCAATCACTCTAAGCCTCAGGTTCACTGGCTCTGTCTAAGCATATAAGCATTGTCCCATTAAAGCCTAGATTGAGTGGTTATGCCTCCTCATCTGAGACTAATGGAAAGATTATAACCTGAGAGAGAAATGATTATGATACCTGCCTGTAGCCCCCATGTCTGTTCCTTCATCACTCTGTCCCTCTGCATCCCCACATCTCTGCTCCCCAGTTTCTCTTCTCTTTCACTTCTTTGTTCAACAAAGTAATATAAACATTTTATTTTTAATAAGATTTATTTTTTTAATTTTATTTTTAATGTTTAGCTGCTCTTTCTTTAATAGATTGAATACTAATGTCGTCTATGCATGTGCTTTGAAAGGCGATGTATGTTGCCTTCTGTCCAGAAGGCAATAAACAGATTGACAATGAAACTTCACAAGATAAATGACAATGAGACATGAATAACGCTGCAGTTAGGTGTTGACCTTAAAGTGGACCTTGGAATATGTTTTATTTTAATTGTACGCCCTTCATAATTTGACATTATGGCATTGTGGTTTATAGGACGGCGCTATTTATGCTCACAATTGGTTTTATTATTCTCATCAGCCACAAATATCAGAGAGGCTGCAGTGACAGATTTTGGAATTTTTATTGAGGTTATTAAATGTAATTCTATGTCTCACTGTAAATGTGTCAAAGTTAAAATTGGCCTTTAGCAAAGGTGCAGATATTCTAAATGTTTTTTAACCTGACTGTGGCTTCCTCACAGCATCTTTGCACTGCTTTACAGTGCAGAGAATTCAGGGTGGAGTGAAATAACTCTATAAAATGGTGGTAAGGTGTAACTGGTAGCTGATGATGAACCTTCATAGATGAACTCGGTTTAAACAAATGTCATGACAAGGTACTTTAGAAGACACAAAACATCCAATTAACATCTTGTTATATAGAAAAATATAATTGAATTAATGCAAATTTAATGGCATGCATCGTAGTTGTAAAATATAGACAAATTCAGTTTTTGACAATTGGTTGAAATTGCAGTTCCGCCTATTGCATTATTGAGTTTTTAACTCAGCAACCATTTTTACTGAGCAAGCATGTGGCGACAGTGGATAGTAATTTTTCCCCTTTACAGAGAGAAAGCAACGATTAAAAAAGAAATGCAACTAAAATCACATGCAAATAAATATTGAAAAGACATGCCGCGCCATCATCCTTCTACCACTTCCTGTCATCTTTTTCATAATCTCCAGCAGTAGTAACATACAGTTGTTCATATGACTCTTGTGATGCTAAAGTGTTTACTTTGCAGTTTTGCAAAATGCACTAATTTTGATAAAGCTGAAAAGCCACCTCAAGTGTTTCCATTAAGCACACTTATTTTCAGAATGTCAAATCGCACAATTTTAAGGTTGATGGAAACACAGTTGCTGTTGCAGTAAGCGGTGTGACTGAAGATAAACACATGGACGAGTTTCTCTAGATCTTTCTGAGTCATTACTTCTTTAGCTTTAGAAATGTTCTTCAGGTGATTGAAGGCTGACTTTGTAACTGCCTTTATGTGTCTCTGAAGGTTCAGGTCAGAGTTCATCACTACTCCCAGGATTCACTCTAATCATTAGTTCCCATCTCCAACAGCTGAAGTTGTGTGCTGACTCTAGATCGTTCCTCTTTTGGTTCAAAGATAATAACTTCAGTTTAATTTCTGTTCAGCTGGTAAAAGTTATGGCACATCCATACTATGATTTGTCCTATGTGTCTACATAAGCACGCTGTAATGAGCATGTCTATCATCTTTATGATAACTTATCTTGCTATTTGAAATTTTTCCAGTGGGTCCAGCAAAGTATTATCATCAACAGAACCAGCACTGTGGTTCTCCCACACTCTGAATTTATGTGGATGTCATTGAACACTTTGATGAGGGCAGTCTCAGTACTGTAGTAACCATGGAAACCAGACTGAATGACATCAAAGCGGTTGGTCAATGTGAAGAAATTAGTTAACTGTTGAAACAGCTTTTACAACAACCTTACCAATGAAGGGAAGATTGGAGATTTCAGAAAATGACTTCCTTTAATTCTTCCATTTAAAGGTACTGTATATCTAACCTTTATAGATGTCACAGTAAACATGGAGTCCAGTGGAGCCTTTCTCCATGGAGATGTTCTTCTGACCTTCACCTTAAAGGGAGCAATGGAGTCAGTGATGTCTGAGATTGTCTATTGTAAGTTATATCTCAACTCATTCAGTGAGTTAAAGGATGAAGTGGAAGTGGAAGAGTATACTAGATTAAAATCTATGTATTTATCTACCTGTCCATGAAAAACATTGAGAGTTGTCTGTACACTGAGTAAATTATTCACATATGACTGCATCTAAAGACTCACATGTGACTGTTGAAGCTACTTGTTATTTTAACTTCATGTGATGAAGAGCTTAATATGAGACTTGCTTTATTAGCACTTTAAAACCTTCATATAATTTGAACAATTATTTATTGCCATTTGTTTTATTAGTGCCGTTGTTCTTGGCGACATGTTGCCCGTCAGTTCTCTTGTTAGCAGTATTTTTTTTCCAGATTGCCACTTCAACTCCCTTGTTGATCAGAAGACTGGTTCTGCTGACTAATATCATTATAAGAAACTTGATGTGAAAGAATTCAAAAAGCATAACAGTTGTCAAGCCTGATTTTTTTTTTCAGTTTCCAGTTGAGATGTAATAAAGACATAATAAATTCATTATCAGTATAATATCCCCAGAGCTCAGTCC